TATGACATTTATTATTTTTACGGCTTGATGTGTCACGTTAACCATTACATCGAAATTTCTTAGGGAAGTCGGCAAAGCAAAAATTCCGTTATTTTAATCTATTCAGATATATATATAATTATAAGTCGGAATGAGATTTTTTTATTGGTAAATCACCTACACGATACCTTAACTCGATTTTGCTTATAATACATGAATTATATTTCATTTATCAAAACAGGTGAATATTAGTTTTTTGGCATCTGTGCTAACGGAAACTTTTGCTGCCGATAACGTGGCCTGAAGATAATTATGATTGATAATTAAATCCCTGTTCTTCGAACTTCCCTAAACAGGGTGATGTAAATCATGTAATTGTATCACACAAAACAGCATTGGTAAATCAATCTGCAATTAAAGCACATTTTCTCTTCGTATAGATCAGGATATTTCATAAACAAGTAATAGTATTGTCTATGTAACAAGCTTCGCGCGAATAATGATACATAAATATAACAAGTTCAAGTCAAAATGTACATGGTAATCTGTGCTATATACCGGTCGCTGTAGGGGGGCATCGTATTTACTAATTTCTGGCTTCAAGCATCCTGCGTAATCTCTTGGATGTCTGACGTAATTCCTGCATTTGTGTTAAACTGATTATGGGCAACGTCGTCGCGAATGTGTGACACCTGACCGCCAAATATCTTGTACTTGGCTAGATATAAACGGTTTTCAAACATGGGGAACATATAAACTTCGTCATTTCACAATGATTATCCGTGGCCTTCGTCGCATGTGAATTAATGACAAACATAGACACAGGGAGTAGCATTTAGCTTCGCATGTAGCAGTTACCCCAAATTGCCGGTTGTTACACCTTCCTAGAACTCTGGTTCAGTTAACCATTGACAAAGTTTTGTTATTATTTCCGGATTTAATAAGAAGACACGACGTTGGACTGTTCCTCAAAATAAATTATACATATTTAATATACTAGTAATACGTGTTGAGATCTGGACATTTCTTCAGTGAATTTCACTAGGTTTTTCAATAAATTGAGAAATACGTGTTATTTACTGCTTAAGATTTGTTAACCATTGACAAAATTTTGTTGTAATTTCCGATCATAATAAATAGAAAATTTACCGGGCCCGCCCTGAGAATATATTACAAACATGTGGTAATACGTGTTGTGATCAATACTTGTTTTTCAACTTTGTGTGATATTAAACTCAATATACTTGGCGACTTTGATAAAATATATAATCACGCGATTGCTATTTTTCAGTTTGTTCTTGAATATATTCTTACGTGGGGAATTTGTATACGGATTAAAATATCATTGGGAATTTTCAAATTTATTACACAAAGACGGAAGTATACTCACTGTGTTATACTCATGTTGACAATAGTAGACGAAAACCGTATTACGCGCTTTAGCGATGACGTCAATACGCCCACGAACTTTCGATATCGCCCCCGACAGAGAATAACCGCTCATCGCAGGTGATGGGTAATATTCCCCAGCCCGTATATACGATGACGCGATGTCCCTATTTACTCGATTTCGAAAGCAGTTTCCCGTTTAGTAACTTATTTCTCATATGAGGATATTTAAGAACCCTCTGATCATATGATCTTGAAATAAATTTCCATACCATGGTCTACGGCTATATTTGTTTTGTACTTTCCGTGATTTTGGCTTCAAAAATGTCATACAAACCTGTTTATAGTGGACCCACTCCTTCATATATTATCTATCTCCTGTTTAGCAATGATTTCACTATCTGTTATTCACAGTGTTTATAGATACCAGTCTGTATAATAACATTACCAACTTTGAGTAAGGCACATGTGTTTTTATCTTGTTTGCTGTCAGAGAAGCCAATAATACAATGGAAAGATACCATTGATACTGGCACGTTCGAAGGGGAAAGGCACACTTCGAAAAGTTTTGTGTAAATATTGAAATGTACCTGCACTCCATGTTTTGCCTCAATTCAAGTTTTGTTGTTAGAAAAAACTCCTTTCAAAATAAAGTCAAGGTTGGTACAGTTGCAATGTGGTAGAGTAAGATTGTCCGCTTACTGGTTTCCACAATAATTATTACAATTTTATACATGAGAGGGAATTCTTAATAATTTGTTACATATAAATTTCCAGGTTAATGCTTCAATTTCGAAGCATTTGATCAATTTTTATGAGGTGGTGTGATAAAACACAGAGTATATTTTACAATATCATAAAATTTGGCCCAAATCTTTCAGTTGTATGTTGTATCCATAAAATCGATGAATGAATATACAACTTCATACTGTTTTATGATAGTTGTTTTACTCATACAATTATCTCTTTTTTACTCGGGTAATATGAGTTATTGTCACATACTCAATGTACAGTAGAGATAGCAATTGTTTGCTAATGGGTTAAAATCAAAACAGAGATCAAGATGATTGATCTTTCAAGGTGAGAAAATGACTAGGTGAATATACAATTACCGAACTTAGACAAACAAGCAAATGCGTAAATGATTTCGTGACCAAATCACTTCTTATACCTCGAGAGATTTAATGAACTTAATACTCCAAATTCTGAAAAGTAAATGGAAGTATATTTGCTGATGTTTCTGATTGTAGCATGCCTACCTAAATGATAAGGGGTATGATTCATAATTTTATTAGACAGTCTGACGTCTTTTATCAGTATGTGAAAAAAGGCTGGCATGAATGGAGATAATGTGTGGTGGGTATGTAGTGTATTCTATTTCATGAAATCTTACACCTAATTATCAACAAAACAGAGAATATCGATTTCAAGACACACACAAGAATCTCAATTTTAAAGATCCCACATGATATAGACAGATTAAATTAGTTGAAATAATATATGCTGTAAGGTGGTGTACTGTACACACATTTGCTGACGTGTTATCTGTTTTTATTCAAATATATTAAAGACATTTACTGTATCTGTATGTACTTTCGATTATCCAGAAATAGATCATTAGGGATTGAGTGGTTTTGGTATACAATTCAAATACACTTTGTAGTTGAAAATTGATGGATTATTTTAGGTAGGCTTCATGGTTTTTTCCATATCAACAAACTGGCCTTGAGTTACCAATGGTATTCATCTTCTCCTATTTCCTAACATTATCGTCTTATAAATAGAATTCACTTATGCTAATGAATTTCAAGTAAATTTGTTGTTTTTGTTTAATGGGAATATAATACTTTCTGCCTTAAATTGAAGTGTCTTAGGAATTATTATATTATACTCATCCTAAAATGTTAGTAAATATAAAGGCAACATCACATCGCTCCCCGATTCTAAGAATTCTTTAAACACTATTTGCGATCGACTTTATAGCTCGCGATCGACTGATTGGTAACAAGGTCCATAAACAAAAAAGAGTGAATACTGAATACCCAGATAACCGTACACACGCATACAAAAATTCCACCGTTGCCAATAAGCTCGGCTCTGCGGGTGCATTTTCAATGAAATGGCCACAAAAATTTGCATTTTTTATATTCCATTCAGTTTGTTAATTTGAATATATAATTGTACCCAGAGTAAATGTTTCATCATTTATTTTACATTTATACAAATCATACAATCCAAATCCAGGGCCTGTCTAATTTTTAGTCGTAAGTGTTCTCAATTCCTCAAAAAACCTTGAAAAGTATACATGTATTATTTAAACAGCGAATAATGAACATTCTCGAACCATAAATGTTACATGACTGATCAAACTTCAGTATCTAATGTACAATTTTCGGACTTCCTGAAGTATGCGCACCAAGATAGCGCACAACCTGAACTCAGGTTGTGTACCAGGTTAGGGTTCAGGTTGTGCGACATCTTGGTGCGCATACTTCAGGAGTACCCAATTTTCTTCAAGTCCGATTCTTTGGTTGCTTGGAATTAAAAAAAGATTGGGCATTCTGATGCCACTGCTACCGTTGCGAATAAAAGTTGTCAAGACACACGATATTCTGCAAGTTCATTTCTTGGCAGTAGTGAAATTGCATTTGTTACGTAATAGTATGCTCAATCGGGCTTGTCCTTATCTAATTACTGCATGTGCATATCGTATTTCGCGCATGTACAGTACTATATTCTTCCTGTTTCAAAACACACAACATACGCTTTATTAAACCGATTCAAGGCAATTTTTTGGGGTATATTATTAAATTCACTCAACATCAGACGCGATTCACTACTCGAGATCGATGTGTCGCGATCGGCGTGTTGGCCACCCATGGTATACACTATAAAATATTGTATATTTTAAAAATCTCTGGTACTGACTACTGATATGCACTTGTGGAGTAAATTAAACTCGATATTGAATTTGCAATTGTGTAAAATATGAATCAACATTTGTTGTTCCTAACAATCATGTGTAAATGGTGAAGCTTGCATCTTTGATATTGCCTATGTGTCCTAAATGGATGGAGAGATATTTCTGCTCCTACTAATTGAGCTCACATGTATAATGGTTTTACATTGACCAAAATCTTTCTGAAAATTTAGACATTTTTGAATACTGTTAAAACAGGATGATTAAAAAAGAAGAATCCCAGTCATTTGGAACCTATTTTAAAGAGAATATAATTTTTTTGCAAATCATCCCATATTACCGACACTTTGGCTACAATTATACACAAACAGAAGTTCAGGTGTTAAATAAATTTTCTTAAGTAATTACGAAATTTTTCGTTGTTGCCAAATGAGGACTCTTTGCCATAAAGAATTTGTGAGTCATTTCATAGTCACCTTAAGTAGAGTATTATTGAACCTTTCCTAATCAATCTTTATGTCATGAAGAGCACTTTGCATTTTTGAAAAATTACTCATTGCAACTTGTCTTTGATCTAATTATATTGCATGTTATGTTTGCAGTATATTCTTACTGGAGATACCCGAGTTGCCTATTCTGTTCATCTCAGTTTTCAAGTTTATATTGTCTAATATGCAGCGATGTCACATGAACTAATTTTATTATTATTTAGATGGGATTATGCTGAACTTCTTCACAATTCAACTTTTTGTATGGTACCTCGAGGCCGTCGCCTTGGCTCATTTCGATTTCTTGAATCACTACAAGCAGCATGTATTCCTCTCGTTCTTGCAAATGGATGGAAACTACCATTCGAAGAAGTCATAGATTGGAGCAAAGCAATGATACCTTGGGAGGAAAGATTGCTTCTTCAGGTAATAGCATATTACACATTACAGACATTATTCTCAGTTTTCTTTTTTTCAGCATTGAACTTTGAACTCATCTGTGTGACATCACACGTTACACATCTGTTGTTCAAATTCTATGTCCACGACTTCAGTCATGGTGTAACAAATTGGGTAGGCAATGTCAAACCGGAAAGGTCCTTTCAAAACTACTCCTTTTATATATCGTTAACTATTAGTGGCTACTTGTACTGGCCTTGTTTTGAGCGAAAGGTGTGAATAAGCGTCATGTGAAAAAATTTGATGTTTTTCTTGGTTTATTCCAAATTATAGTTTTAAATGATTCAATGAATGAATATATTGTGCCATATGTGTACTATGTTCGCTCAAACTCAGCCATTTTCATCCATGTTTAATTTCATTGTCTTCAACCTTAATGGGATGCTACTTCATTGTTTGAAATAGGAAGTTGTTCAGTTGTATCACCGCATATTGGTAGTTAATGTGTACTACAAACAGACAACAGACTTCTATTTCACTATCATAATCTCGACTTGTTATTTTGTGTATGTTAATCATTACCTTGATTGCAATTTGTCTATTGAGTAATGGCGATGATAAACTATTGTTGTTGGAAGATTATATGATAGTAATGTGAATACATCTTTCGTTGTCTCTTGATTTTTTGAAACTGCAAATTTTGGACCTGGTGTAGCAATGTACTCTCGTTGTGTTATTTCATTGGAATTCTCTAAAGAGATAATGTTCAGTTTAACAAATTGAATGTAAATAATAGAACGCACAAGAGAAATGCTCGTGTGCGGAAAACTGTGGTTTACTGGTCTAGACTCACAAAAAACGTTCTAAATTGTTGGAGGTCAAGGACAAAAAATAAACAAAAAAAATAAATTACATGAATAGGGAGAGGCAATGACTACTATTATGCTATTATAATGCCTACTGATGACGTCTTTGTGCCAGACCAGTTGTATTATACTATGTTCAATGTATTCATTATGTTTTCCCATGTTTGGCATCAACAATAAATAACTTGTCTATTCAACAGATATCAGCCTGGATATGCCACCCACGATGTGTAACGTCTTCAACATTTATCAAATATTTTGTTAATACAACATTGTTACATATGTCATATTTATTCAATTTTGCACTTTTTTATATGTTTGCCTGTTTTGATATATTTTCTTACATTGTAATTTAATAATTATTCTTTTACCAGTTTAACGCGCTTGTACACTTGTATCTTATGTAATATCTATTTTGGTTTCCATACTTGATATATTTGGTTTTGACTTGGAGATTTACTTACCCCTTTGAAGGGCGATCCAAGCTTTCCAAAGTTGATGTAAATTGAAATAGTAATATATATTATATTTCAGGTACCTAGCATGATACGTGAAATAGATATGGACAGCATAATGTTGATGAAACAACAATCGCAGTTTCTATGGAACACTTATTTTTCAACCGTATCCAATATTGTACAGACAACCTTGGAGGTAAAAGTGAAATAAATTGTCTTGGCAAATATGGTACTTGGTAATGGTATTTAAAGTTTATTTCTTATTATTATTTATGTTCTTATTTACGGTATAAAGATCTCCATTCCCCCTAAATTGAGAATAAAGAAATATTATTGACATACTAATATGAGATTTTTTTGCTGCTATGCTATATTAGTATACCACCCAATTCATTCCTCGCTTTGGCAGATTTTGTCAAAAATACTATAATTGAAGGTTCATTCAGTTAGCTAGTATAGTCAAGTAACCCTACCTTTTCTAGCATTCCTAGCGTTTCTACTTCGTAAACATATTAATCGATGCATTTAATTAGGTGTGAGGGTAATGATGCTCATGATTATGCTGTGTAGTTGCTGGTTTTAAAAATAAGATTAATTAATTGATAATATTGTAACTTGTAAGTTATCAATGTGGTCATTGATCAGGATATTACAGTAATGACCGCAGCGTCCCATTCCTTTTTCATTTTTTTATACTTGAAGAACAGATTTTTCTTTCTATTTATCACACATTTTAAAGTATAAATCTGAACTTTTGGCTTATGTTATGTCATCTAGACTAAATGTATTTTTTTAGTAATTCCATATTTTTATTCATATCAGATAATTAACGACAGAGTGTTTCCTGAACTTGCTCGCTCACCAGAAGTATGGAATTCTAAACCGGGTGCACTCGTGTATTTGCCAACATATAGCAACGATTTACATGACTACCCAGCTTTTTATGACACACTAGGTAAGCAAACAAAACTCTATGGATTTATCAAGTCGAGATAATTCAGAATTCGTGAAAGATTATCTCAATTTTTTGTCATATTCAATATGGCAACCCAATATATATTTCGTTTTTGTTATATTAATTTTGTCTGTAAATTTAAGATATACATGTTCAAAAAGATTTTTTTTGATCCCATTAAAGCATTCACAAGGGAATTCATCCCGAGGCTCAAGAGATCACACGGCATTGCAAAGCAATATTGAGTATCTAACGACATTCCAACATACCAGTTAGTGGAAATCTATACATTGTTTATGATGATTACTATGGAGACCTATTGATCTTAATTTTGGCAGCAGTTTTCTATTCACAGTTTTTATAGAAGCATAGAAAGTCACTAGAATATGTCTGTAACTATGAATCTACTGAATAGGTTAATGATTTTTACACACCATGTCTGTGATAGATCTCAAAAAATTGGATTTTAAAGTTTACTTATAAAACCATGATTGTAATGTCGCAGTAAATGTTACCGATGAAGCAATATCCAAACCTAAAGAACTAAATATAAAATATCAAATTAAGTTTTTCCTTCAAAATGTTACCAATTAGTCCAATTATGAGATTTTTTGAAAAATATAAAGTGCTGCAACTTTCATACCACTATTACTTTCCAAACAGTGTATCCTTTGTTGTGTATAAACATACAGCTTTGTGTGTTCACAAGGCGTATAAAATATGCTACTTCGGTAAAATGGAGCCGTCTGTTGCGGATTTTAGGATTTACTTAAAGCCCAACGCTTCTTAATAATGAGTATGACCCTACGTTTGAGCTGTCTTCCTAATAGCACTGCTTTTCAACAATCTTTGATGCGGGCCGTGACACAAAAATATTACTTCAATAAAATTTATTGGACTGATTTTAATGGCTTTTATCAACTTCAATGCTTGTTTGAAGGTGTCTAACTCATCACAGAGGCCGCAATTGTGCCAGACATGTAATTTGAGCAATTTGATAATTTGACATGATCTATTTTCGTATCTATCACTTGATGGGTGTCTGCCATGAAATGTATCAATTTAGCTTCTTCAGCATAATTTTATCCCTTTCTAAGATAAGTTTTTGTGAATTGCCTGATTGTGGCTCTAACCACTTGTTTGCAGTTGTTATATTTAATTTGAGTGTTGGTCACAGATGGAAAGCATAGCGGGTGTGGTTTGTTTATGTCCCGACAGTTAAAAAGAACAATGCACCATTTATTTATACATGAGTTGAGTTATTTAAATATGCTTTATAAATGGGGCAATATTATTTTCATGCTAATTCTACGTACTTCATATCCAGAGTTAGATTTTCAAATTGTTAAGCACAGTAATTTGTTCATCCATTAACAATACTTTTGTTATATCTGTATAAATTGTATCTTGCCATTGAAGTTCTTTAGGTCTTGTTGTTGAGTACAACATTCGAATTGTGCCCCACCTGTTTAGTCTTTATTACTTATGTTTTACCTTGTAAACTTGCCGAGCACAGTGCAGCAAGTCGCTATAACATATTTGCGGCATGCACTGTCTGGCTTGTCGAACCCTTATCTGATTAAAGCGCCTGCTTAATTTACACAACATTTATCAGACATCAGACAAGCCTCGGGCAAGAATTTTTGAGTTGTTCTTAGCATTCATTTCCGTTAAACCTGTCACATCTCTAAGGAGAACCGTCGTGGGTTAGTTTGCCATCTCTCTTTGTGTTACATTCTTTGAATTTGAACTATGATGTTTTGAACCTTTTTTAATCTTATCTACACCCTTGAAATTACATAAATATTTTTAGCATGTTTATTAGCTGGGCTCAATTTTTAGTAATAATATTGTCGATGAGTTAACTATCAAACAGACATTGCTCAGACATAAATGCACAGTCAAAAGTTCACACCACTTGGGTATTTAACATATAGCAATATTTCACAAGTGTAAAGCATAGATGATTCCTACATAACAGAGTATGATAGGAAACATTGTGCATTGTGGATAAATGACATGCTTATTGGGCTGTTTCAATTATTTTGTATAAGCTATTATCTACGTTGCCATCTGTCGTCTTTCTGAAAATAACATTTAATAATAAACAATCACAGACTCCTCCTATGCATCAGAGCATATTCCAGAAATAAATCAAGTTCAGATACAAATGGGTAATAGCCACTCTAACACAGAAATGTGTTATGTATTTTAGAACCATGCAGTGAAAGCAAAATAATCAATGGTGTGAAATTGGATTTTTCGAACAACTTGATAGTTGTTTCATTCTCATTCCAGTATTTGAATTCCTTTGTCTTGGGTGTTGCTCATTTTTTATTTACCCTCTTAATACAATAATCTAAATATAGAAAGTACGTGACTTGAATGCTCAGCTTATAGTTTGTTTCATTTTACGGTTGAAAGATTTTGGAGAAACTTTGTTTTGTATGATGCCAAAATTGCCGACAATTTTGAAATTTCTAGAAAGATTAACAGTGCTTGAAAATTTTGGCTGAAACTGTACTGCATGATAGGAATAAATAATTAAGAAAAATATTTGTAAACGAACTTAAGTTTTAAGACAAAAAATGCTTGATATGTTTAACTTTTGCAATGGAGATGTCAAAACTGATAACCCAAAAATAAATCATTACGTCATGTGGGATTATTTTGTATTGCAAATTGTACAACAAAAAACGCACGCGGCAAAACAAAACAAAATCTTCACATTAAATCGTAACCTTTTCCTTAACTGAAATTCAATACTGAGGCCAGTAGCAAGGATCCATTTTTTAAAAAATAGAATTTTTTTAAGGTTGCCTAAAAACAACAATGATAAGTTTCAGTAGATAAAATATTATTTTTCTTTTGATTCCAGGACTACAGTCACCAACCAACTTTACTGCCGTAATCCAAGCTATATCACCAGTTACAAGTTCAGCAGCTCCTATAATTAAACTTGTTCGATCTCTATCCCAATCTGCAGCATGTTCGCAAGTGAGTATTTACTTATTTAGTTTGGATTAGCATTCCTTGAAATACATTCTTATTGTTGTGTGGGAGAGTAAAGTGGATAAGGTGATGTTTCAGTTGTGCGGTGATACAAAAATTTTTGTTTTTATTATCTATTTATATAAGGCATATTTCTAGTCCCCATGGATCACAGGATACGAATCTTTTGTCTCTTGCACAAGGTAATATTTGGTAAGGTGTAGTCATTATTTCTATGGCTGGGCACAATGCGCCAACAATAATTTGCATAATCAAGTTGTTCAAAATATATTTACAATTGATTACTTCTAATAGTGTGAGCAATTCATTCCATTATATTACCGATGCATCTCTTTTTTCAGATAATTATTCTATGGCATTGTGACAAACCCCCACCGTCTTCAAGTCGTTGGCCGACAGAATCATCAAAAGGAAGCAAAACACCTTTGACTGTGATCAATGATAATCCAAAGCTTATTGGTCGTCGATTCTTTCCTTTCGACGACATAAAATCAGATGTTGTTTTAAGTTTAGATGAAGACACTGTTTTGAATACAGAGGAGGTAAGCTTGAAATTTTTATATTTGCAGGCATCGTCTTTAAATAGGAACAATATTAGATATGCTGATGAGAAAATTTATTGAAGTGGCCTGTGATTGAAAATTATAAAATGTAACAAAATCGGGCTATCTGATCTTTTTGGCTGCTGGTGGAGCCAAATTCTTGGGTCAAATTTTAATGACATGTAAATTTCACAGTGATAAGTAAGAAAAATATAGAGTAAATATGAGCCAGTCATAACTGGAGAGCTGGTTTGAAATAACAATGGCTGAAGTTGTTCCAACTGCGTCTCAGAAGCTTCATTTTTTTTATCTCGGAGATGAATCTAGTTCCATAGCCATTGATTTTTTTAATATGACCATGAAACATGATTTCAAATGCAGTTTCATCTCTATCAAATATGGTAAAGTTGGTTCCAGGTAAACATTACAGCTATATCCCATATTTCTGCGAAACTCAAGATTTGTAGAATACAGTTAACATGACTTTACATAATATGATAAATTGCAATTGTTGTTATATGAAGTCCCAAGCTTCCTCTAAAGCCTTGTTATCTACCAACGTAACACACCATAAATGAAGTTAAATATTATATTTGTTGTACAGATCGATTTTTCGTTTGAAGTTTGGAGAACGTTCCCAGAACGTATTGTGGGTTTCCCAGCACGAAGCCATCTTTGGGATGAGAACCGTTCCAAATGGTTGTATACTTCCAAATGGCAAAATTCTTACAGTATTATATTAACTGGAGCAGCATATATTCACAAGTAAGTGGCGTTTTAAATAAGACTTGAATGAATCAAAAATGGTATTTCTTGATTAAGACCAATTTTATTTGTTTTTTTATCATACAAAGAATAAGAATTACATTTACTCTATAAACATTCCCAAATTAGACTTTTGATTTCTTTATTTTGTCATATAGTGCACACACACAGTATCTAAGACTTTTGGGAGTCTCTGATCTGTTGCATTACTATGCCTATCTGTGAGTTCTTATTTACAGCTGGGATACTGTTAGCAGTTCACATAAAACACAGAAATGTTATGTCTTGTTTACTCAAGAGTTAATAGAATTATTTGCTTTACGGTCAGCAATTTTGTCTGCTTTTTAATGAGAGAATTTATATGCATGTTGCGCAAGTTTTGTTGTTTAATGCCTTGCTAAAAAAAATTTTCATGGCAGGACGCTTGGATTCAGACCCGCCATTGTTTTAAACTAAATAATTCTAATACATACCTGAGAAACAGGATTTTATTAGTGTGTTACGAAGAGCAAGTTTTTTTGTTGTTTTGGTTCTAATAATGTTTTTATACATCTCAGGTATTATTTTGCATTGTATTCTGAATGGTTACCACAATCAAGCAGAGTATTAGTAAATGAACTTGGTAACTGTGAAGATCTTCTTATGAATCATCTTGTCGGTCATGTTACAAAACTGCCACCTATTAAAGGTTAGTGACTTCTTTCTATGTGTCATTTCTGGGCCCTACACCTAGATAGGTAAGTGTAAACAATGATAATAATTATATATCTACGAAAGTTCATTGATGTCTTCAAGGCTGTGGAGTCTGGAAAAATGTACATTCAAACTTGACTCTAATCTCCAACTACAAGCCATTTCAAGAAAAGACTCCTGACTGAAAAAATTCTGAACCCAGCTTGAAGAAAAAATTTGACACTGGCCTCAGATTCAATCAAAATAAATATTTGAACAAAAACTTTTGCGCATGAAAGCCTTATTAATTGTATATGTAAAATGCATAGCCAATTTAAAGCTTTTCAAGTTTATTTTTGAAATTTTCACTCTGATTATCATTGGCTCTCGATTCAATTTAAAATTCTAATTCCATGAAGTTTGATCGTATAACTCTGACTTTGACTCAATGAACATTCTAACCTAAAGCTATCCTACCCAGCCTTGGATGTTGTAACCTAAAGCCATAAATATCAATCTACAGCAATATGTTCAGTCACACTTCAACCTATAATTTATCCTTTATTTGCACATTGGCATCATTCCCCAGTAGTAACTATTTGTATTAATTCCTTATCATTATTCAAAAGCAATAAGATGAATCATCTTTTTGTTGAATTAGTAACATTACGATTGTGCTGTCTGTAATTATTGATAAATATTAATGAAAGAAGGTAAGCATCACATAATATATGAATATAGGTATAAAATGCCGGCACAAAATTGCTTCTAAATTATGGGGTCTTACTTTCTGTAATAGTTACTCAAAAGAAACAATATAAAGATACAAGTGCAATCCAAGGACAGAAGACTGAACCACAGTCCAGGTGGGCAGATCCAAAGCATTTTGCAGAACGACAGACTTGCATGAATAAGTGAGTAATGACTTCAGTTTTCAGGGTATATCAAATTCAATAATCGATTCTTACTTGTAATCACACAACAGAATGTTGAGCATAAATCACTTGCGGTAGTTTCAATGTTATAATAAGCTATGAATAAATATGAATATGAAAAGATCCTTAACTTTATTGTATGATTAGAATCGATCTTTGTCTGATTTAGATAGAAGATATAGAGGTCTTCATTTTTATCTTAATTTTGAGGCACAAAACTTTGGTAAACTTCCGATGCCCCTCATACGTGTGTGCTCATATTAGCTACTTCATTTTTATTGTTGTTCCTTTGAATTCGAGCAACTTGGATCTGATTCGGCTAAATATAGCCAGGATATCCTTATTTCATAATTCCGGAATTGAATAACTATTTAATAAACATCTGTAGCTTGGCTTCTCAACTCTGGCTTCGCTCGGCGGAAAATTCTTGATCGCTTGCTTCAAGATGTTGATGTGCCTGACTCAAACTAGTTGCTTTCTATGTTTGATTTTAGAAACTCACTATCAAACGATTTCATTTTTCACTTTTATATGATTTTGTTTTTCTCTTATCACTTTAGCTTTTCATCGATAAAGTAGGAAAATATTTTATTTTTTTATTTTAAGGTTTACTGAAATGTTTGGTTATATGCCGCTCTCTGCATCCCAAGTAAGATTTGATCCAATGTTATACAAGGATAATGTGTCGGTATTAAGAAAGCGATATCCAAAGATAGAGATTTGAAGATGCCTTCGTTATCATGAATGATAATAATTGAAAAAGAAAGCATTGCTGATGCTGTTGCAAGTCGAGAGTGGAGAATATTTGGTTTAAACATGATTGCACTTATGTATGCCAAATGAAATGTCGTAATTAGTATGGATAGATTGAAAAACAGTTTTGCTGGTTGGCCTTTCTCACATAATGTCCATAATTCTGCGAGTTGTGTGTTGAATAGCTGATTACACAAATCTAACAGTAATTTTGATTACCATGCAAACAATAGTAAATTCTTAGATTTGACCCAAATTCAATTCATTTGGCACAATGGAGGTTGTGCCAATGAAATGCAAATGTATGCCAGTGGTTTGTCAGGGCAGTTTCTCGCAAAAGTGGTTGCTCATCCTAATTCATATATGAAGAAAATTCTATGTCAATGGTAATATCGGAAGAAAAATACCAAAGGGCCAAATTGATTCAGCGATGTTACTAATCCAGTCTGATTAAAAATAAAATACTCTGAAGCTGGATAAAATTTTTGATTTACTTGATTTGCCTGATTAAGGCTAAATAATGAATTGATCATGTTCTTTAAATTATCTCACTGAGAATTTTTTTGGGTGGTAACCAGGGAAATAGTTTTTAATGATTTCTAACAATAAAAAATATTTGTTTCAAATCTTGCTGATTGACATTTTCACAACAAGTCTGTTGCGATAAGAATATTTTAGGCAAAGGCAAAAATTTTGGATTTTTACTCAATGTAGACTATTTTGTGTTGAAGTATTCTGCCAACCTATGGCTCAAAGAAAAGAAAGTGTATCCTTTTTTTTTTTTATTCCTAATCTTGGTATTTTATGGTAATGTTATGAAGACTATCTTTTTTTTTTAAACTTTGCGCTATTTATTATTGTTAGTGTTATCATTACTGCTTAACGTTCCATGTTTTGTCCTGTTGCTTTTGATATTGTTAACTTTATTTATATCTTGTCATGTGTAGCGAACTACAGAGGAAATAGTACATATTTTATGTCTTTCAATGAACTTTCACTAATTGTATTATTTAAAACCATCTTCCATGAATTTAGTGAATTTTGCAGGATCAGCCAAAAAAAAACTTGTTACATCACGAGTTTAGTGAATATATACATACAGATACAACTATAAACCCAACAGTTACCCCAATTAAAATGTTTCGATAGTTGATCATGCAACTTCTACTGATAAATTTATGTTAGATATCCCTTGGTGCCAAATTATTGCAATTTTTGACGAATAGGACATTTTATACATAATCTAATACCTAATATCACATCTGATCTATATAATTGTGAGCTTGAATATATCGCGCCTCTTCTGGCGCAGTCTATGGCTCTTGCTCGGCTTGCACAAGTTTACCATTTATACCTCTGAACCGACAAAACATACTTTCTGTACATGGTGCCTATTTTGAAGCCGAATAATACTTTTTTTCTTTCCTAGCCTAAATAATTTGTGTGCTTCATTGCAGCATTTATAAAAACGATTTTACTTGTCCAAACTACTCTAATGACTTCAGATTTTCTATGAATGCTTGGGTGAATATATTCCAATGCTTTGTAGTGAGAAATTTTTGAGGCCAGCTTGTGTGGGTGTAGTTTTAATACGATGCCCTGGACATAGCAAGCACTGTGCTCAGTCGCTTCAGTCATGCTCGTCTACTTTATATCCAGATAGATCTGACGCAAATAGCCCTTTCGATTGCCTCTCATATTGTATTCAGGGGTGATCGGACGGAACCTGGTAAATATCTCCTTATTTGTCCTTTGCCAATTGTAAGCTAGGTCACTTGTCAACACATGTTGTTTTAAATTTAAATGACAAACGAAATAGTTTTCTCTAAAACACTCTACCTGAAAAAGTATACCGCGCCCTGGATGAAGTATAATAGCAACTGTATTTTTCCTAATATTTATCAACGATTTCCAGATGTTCTCATTCGCAATTGGCCTATTTTTGCTGACGACACAACTCTTGCCTTGATATAAAGTCGGCTAAACATCGGCGTTTGGAACCGAATCTTTGAATTCGAAAAAAGGTGTGCTCCAATCGAGTTTCGGAGGATTGTCATAGTAGACGAATTGTCCCAATTTTGTCTAGTTCGCACAGTTTCCCAAGGATTTTGAGTTGGAATGAATATATATCGGCAGTGGCTCGAACGCGCCAATAGAGGTCGGGAATGAATATATATCGGCAGTGGCTCGAACGCGCCAATAAAGGTCGGAAGCCGCGCTCGCCGGTATTTGTCCAGTAAATTCATACTTCACTGGTACAAATCACCCATACCATACGCAGTATTGCCGTCGTATTTGGACTGTGACTATTGAAATTAGACCGAATTCAAAGATGGATATCAGATATGAAGGTCTACCAGTTGTCATCCGAACTGCAAACTCTTTCCCATCGACGAGATGTTGCGTCACTATGCTTATTTTACATATAGTGTTCACCAGGGCTGGGGAGTCGGAGCCATGGAGCCGTTACATTTTGATGGAGCCGGAGTCGGAGTTGGAGCCAAGCTTTTCATAACAGATGGAGCCGGAGCTGGAGCTACCAAAAATTTAGTGGCTCCAGGCTCCAGCTCCTAAATATCTCATTTTTTGTTTTTCAAATTTATAATTTTTTTTCTGATAGCGTTACAAATTATAAAATCTTTTCTTTTCAGCTTATAATTCATTTTAAAAATTTTAGTTCCTAATATTTTTTAAAATGTTTCCAGTTATTCTGTATGTTTGAAAGTTTAGTATCAAAATTTGAAGCGGTTCACATTTATCAAAATTTGGATTCTCATTTCCACTAAGCTGCAATTTTTCATGATTGCGGTCAAGTTCAAAAACCCTAATGGCCAGGGATTTTCGAAGAAGTGATTTTGGAATTTCCATGTAACATATTATGATTTTTTCGTGGCGTTGAATATCCAATCCATTTCAAATGTCTTCAATTCTGTTCAACGTATCACGAGATTGAGTCGTTTTACGACAAAAAAAAGGTTTAACTACTCCAAAATGCTCCGCAGCAGTCACCTGGCATAAAAATGTATGGCAAAGTGCCCCATTATATCTTGTTTTGATCCATAACATAGCATGTTCTGGAGAAAAGTCTCATCAATTTCCGTTGTTATTTTTTGAATATATAAAAAGTATATCGCGAGTAAGATTGATTGCGTTTAGATTTATTTTAGTGACTGTAAAATTTTCAAAGTCAACCGGTAAATAATATGTCGTAGGCAAAAAAAATAATGAGATTAACAAGGCATTTTTTTTAGCTGTTGGGAGTCTCCTAGAACAAAGTTTATAGTGTTTTCCGTTTCATTTTAGTATCTTATAATAACTCTCCAATGTGGAAATTCGGCTTGCGAATTGACTTCTCTATTTATCTTTAACATCTCATCGCTGATAATTATGAAAACGCCTCGATTCTAGAACCAACTTTTGGCCTGATTTCGGAGAGGGGGACGGCATCTAATTGGGTGACGATGGTAATTTTCATTATTTTGGGTCTGCTTATTCAATTTGTAGCATAAAATACTGCCTCCCCGTCAGGCCAGTTCAAATTATCATGAGTTGAAGGGCTATTGCCGTTACTATCACATGTGCGTTGCATTTCGTGAAAAGCGTCAATTGTTTTAGTCGCCATAAACATTAGGCCATAACATCTTTTATTTCAGTGTTTATTTTTCCCTTAATCACAATTTTTCAAGACATACCGTATGTTTTGTGTCGCGCACCATATTTGTGAGAAAACGAGTTATTACATCATCGGTGATGAAATTCTAAGATAAATAAACAAGTCAATACGCAAACCAAATTTTCCTGATTAAAAAGCGACATTATAAAATACTAAAAATAAAACAGAAAACACCATAAGTTTTGCTTTAGAATGGCCCACGACAGATTTTATTTGGCCGGCATGATTGCCAGTTATGTTGAACACGATTAAATTAAAATAAAAAGACAGTAATTATGGGTTAAATATTATGTGATAGAAAAAGTCATTATGAGCTATTTTACCGAATGCGCAAACGCTGCGATCATTCCAGAAGCCGATTTTCCTTCCAGTCTTATTGTGGGGTTATATGTAAAACCCTTCTATGCTGGATAGACCGATTCGCCCGGAAATACAGCATAGGCTATAATAACTCTCAGTGGATTCACAAGTTACATGCAGGAACAAAAAGGAATTATCATGACACCGACTTGAAGGGTGTTTACAGCCTAAATAACATGCCACACTTAGAAAACAATTAGCAAAATGCGTTATTGGGCTGCACTACTGATAATGGCTATGGAGCCGGAGCTGGAGCCAGCTCCGGCATAAAAAAAAATGAAGCTCCGGAGCCGGAGTTGGAGCTAAAGATTGAATACACTGCGACTCCGGAGCTGGAGCCGGAGCCATCATGATTTCGAACCAGCTCCCCAGCCCTGGTGTTCACAGATGAGCGTTCCTCGTAACTTATTTTTTAAAAAAACGATTTCAGTCGTCGAACTCGGTTGGCTGTGAGCAAAGTTTCTGCTGGTGCGTCACATCCAATATCTTGTTGAATAACCAGAGTCGGTGTTACTTAAGAATGGAGAAGCCTCATTGAAAGATCGTGTTGGAATTTTCTTTTTTGGAAAACCACAAGGTGGATCCGCCAAGAGACGATTACTGTAGTATTTCTGCTCCATCCGTTTCACCTGATGGCTAATGAACAGCTAGTAGTTAAGATACCGATGACAATGATATATTCCAGGGTGGTCCAAACTGCGGCCCGCAGAACAACTTCGGCGTACACTACAAAACCATTGGCAGATATTTGTATGTATTAGCAAAACAATCTTAATTTATTCTCAAATTATTTCAACTGGGAATAGTCCTTTTCCTAATCCCGATGTCGGGATTTATTTTTGTTAAAATCACAGAATTTCATTGTTGTATCTATAAACGTCAAGACGGTGCTTACATGGGAATGGCGTCTTGTGATAGGTAAAAGGAGAGCCTTGTGCAGACAGGACCCAGCCGATGAGATAAACTCACGTCAAGTAACTCCTCATTTGAAGACACGTTTTGTGCCTTTATTTTAGTCAAAACACTGCTCTATTTTCAAGCGCTGGCCGTGTGACAGCAGTGACGAATCGCAGAGCTGACTTAGCGCCGCGCGATCCATTTTTTTTTATTTGGGTCCGAGGCCCCAACTTTGACGGACTTGATTATTTTTTAATGGTAACACTGGGCCTGCTCACGCTACAAGTAATAATTTTTTTCAAATATTACAATTCATCATACAATGAGTGTAGAAAATAAGGAGACCGAAGTAAACTGAGAGAAAACGTTTTTCCTTACCGACAACAACGTTTAAACCACGGTGTCTGGTGTGTTTTGTCTTCAAGTAATATCCGTCAGGAAAGAATATAATTTTAAGCGACATTACAAAACCAAACACGGGAAAGACATACAGAAAATACCACGATATTTCTCGGGAAGCAATTTTAAAAATACCTAAAGGCTTTATATAGTTTCCTTGAAAAACCGATTAGAACGATAAAGTCTCATTCTTAAATATATATATATATTTGAAGTGAGTAAACTCGCGATCTTTCGATCACTTTTAGGTTTTCTGCGGCCCGCGAGACCTCCTCTGAAATTTTTGCGGCCCTTCAAACTTGCAATCTTGGACCACCCTGGTATAGTCTATTTCGTGTCCGTATATCATTCCGTATCAATGATATTCGTGCGCAGTTCTTTAGTTTTGTATAAGCATACTTTTATAGACGGGGAACGTTTTCTTCCATCGGAGATAGGTAGAGCCATTACATTTTTGAGGTACCTTTTGGATGAGACAGAGTATCATGTGAGTGATGTGGTGTAGTCTTTATAGGATATTTCCGAAGAAGCAATAAATAGGGCGTGGCATAGCCATAAAATCCACCTTAGAATTCAGATCAAATAGCAACGCTTTATATTAAGTATTTACTCATTGTATATTTCAATGAATGTAGTTGCTTAGCTCTCCATCTATTCATCTATTTTGGATTCAGTTTGGGACTAACAGTTGCACTAACTGTCTCATTACCATTCTATTTCGGAATTTTGTATTTATAGCGAGTAGCGTATCATAGACAGGCACACCAGAAAACAAACATCAGAGAAATTGTTCGTGCAAGTCATGCTCTCCTTTTTGCAGAAAATCGTGCATTTTTTTAAAGTGAATACTAAAACTATTTTCAGCACATTTTGCTTTGAAAACCATCTCAGCAGTGCTTCGTGCCACAGTCAAAGTTGTTTCGTTGTCCCCCTAAAATCGCTCCGCGGACCTCACTTTGAGAACCGATGGCCTAATTGCTAATAAATAGAACATTCCTGATAAATATCGTATATATGTCGTTCAATATTTTGAAATAAATGGGTCCATCATAAAAATATCCGAAAATCGTAAAAAATATAATAACAAGGGAGCCACACAAATATATGGAAACAACGGCTAAAACGCAAAATCAGTACGGGTATCTAATATTTTACAGTAGACTACCGGTCTTTGCCTGACCACAAGATAGCAGCGAACGCATAACCGCCACAAGGTGCACAAGTTTAGATTTTGGTGACGTCATCACACACAAAATAAGGAATCCTAAGAGCTCACAGAAATTTCTAAAATAAGTAAAAGTAATAGCCTTCGAGTGGCAACAACAATCTTTAACCGCTAAAAATTTCAAATCAGTCGGTCAGATAATTAAAGAAAACATCGATTTTTTCATAACAACAAGAAAAAGAATTCTAAAAACAACATAATACTAAAACGATCTATATGTCAACTTTGTGTCTAATACTTCGTAGATTCGTCTTTGCTAAGATAAACTAGTATAGTTGTATATCGATATTTTCTCATCTTTTCCGAAACGGATGAATTTTTTAAGCAGTGAATATTTGTGTCATCAATTAGCCTGACTAAAAAATTAAACAAATATCAATATTTTGAACTGGTTTATTCTGAAGCCTTCAAAATTTCAAAGGCACATTAAGAATGATAGTTCAACATTGAATGTATTGTCGAATGAATACATTTCCGCTTCATTTTATTTTGTTGCTCACCATCAGAGGCGCTGGTGGTACATACGTATATCGTATCTATCACCCTACAATGGTTTCGCCCACGTTTTCGCGCGCTTTTGCAAAGAGCGGACACTTCTTAGGCCTTAATCAACTACTTTGGGTTTGCAGTGCTAGTTTTTAATTGTCTTTCTGATTGGATCATATTTAGAATTAGAGATCGCAACCTTGATTCACTGAACTGTTTTCCAATCAGCCGTCGATTGTTGGAAGCTGCACTGTCGGTGAGTTTGTATTCTTAAGAGTTTTTAGGCTGTAGTAATTTGTGGCAGCATGTTACACTACAGTGATATCGGAATTGTTATTTCACTGGTATGGACCTGAGTATATTTAGTTGAGTTTTTCATGATTTTGATAAGTTAGAAATTTCAATTGTTGGTAATGTTTCTTACCGGAATATTAAGTGCTGTGAATACTGTTTGTTGGCTTTCTTCAGAAAATCGTACACACTGACACACGTATGTTCGTACTTTTAACGTATACGTGCACCGGTACGTTATCGTATTAAAAAATCAGGTACTCCCGTAGTATGTGCAACAAGATGGCGAACACCGGAACGTAGTATGTGTATCAGGTTAGGGTTAGGCCATAATTTCCGATACAAATACTACGGGAGTCACTTGGCTAGTCCCCAAACTCGTAATAGAACTGAAATAATGAAAATTGGAATAAAATTATGGCCTAACCCTAACCTGGTACACATACTAATGTTCAGGTGTCCGCCATCTTGTTGCACATACTACGGGAGCGCCAAAAATCATACCTTCGTGAGAGCACTAAACAGCCACTCACTCCAGATTTGACGTCTACACCGAGGCCCTTGAAGTTTGAGGCCATCAGGTTTCAGTCCACACTTCCTAATGGCGAATGTAAATCCAGAACTGAGCAAAAACACTCTTTAAAGTGTTTAAACGATAGGGATCCCCTTTACGAATTGGTGGTTATTGTAGATCGTATATATATATATCAGTAGTCACGTACCATACAAAACAAGGATAGCTTTTCGGCCTGGTTATAGATTTCCAGGAAAAGAATATTGTTCATTATAACAGTAACAGTCGTAGCTTTGTTAGATGATTGAATGTTTTGTGATAGCGCAATCTATTTTAAAATGTTCTAATCGAAATTGAATATACATTTCGAAAAGCGTGGGAGGCAATCCAGGGATGGTCATAACCGAATACTGGACTCTCCCAAATACATTCTATAAAAGTATTTTCGAATCTGACAAAAGATATATACCGGTATTCATTATTAAAGTCTGAGGACATAGGAATAAAGCATTGACAATAGAATCACAGTAAAGCAGATATAAACAAGAGAGCAATGCTCAAATATGTTGACACGGGGAGCAAAACCAAATATTTTATCATCAATTCCCCGAAAATCGTATGAGGTAACTTACCGTTACCAGTAGCGGTATCGGAAGACGGACAACTCGACTACCCAAGGTACCGGTGACGGTACAGGTACTGTCGCAGCGTTTCGCAGGACGTGTGACGATGATCATTCTTCAGTTTCAGATTCATCCCCGATGAAATTCCTCGAAAATCATATTCGGCACGGTAACTTACCAGTATCGAACCTGTAGCTGTAGGCCTGATAGTCGATTGCGGAACCACTTGAAATAGATTAAAAACAGTGTTCCCGTGAGTAAAAGTTAATACAGCGAAATTTTGAATGAAATCAAATCTCATAGTATTCATAGAAAATAAATAAAAGTAATGGCCTTCTAGCGAAAAATACAATCTTTATCTTCAAAGCAATTGGTGGAGAAAGCGAATCAAGCAGAAAAGCGATTTTTTTATAACGATACAAAGCAGAATACCAACAAGAATAAGAACAAGAACTACAAGAATAACAAAACGATCCATAGGTCCACTACGTGTCCAATAAAACAAAAGACGCCGGTAAGCTGAATTCCGTTACTCTTCCCAAACTCGTGAATTTCTATCTGCCAATGTAGGAGCATTACGACTGAAAATCGTGTTTCGAGTGGCGTCAATTTACTCATTCTTGTCAGGTGTGGTGCTTCTATCTTCGCTCATACGTTAATCCCGCCAACGTAAATTGAACAATGTTATCATCAACGACACCGGAATAAAGATAAAACCCGCGATATATACACCTTTTTGAACGCTATTTCAGACACGGTAAATCGCAGCAAATTCACAATTTTCCCATTATGCTCGGTCGCGATAAAAGCTGAAGATGTAAAACATGAATTACTGGGCAATTTGTCCCCTTTTCTCCTGCGTTTATTGTTGTTTGTTTATTGTTTATTGCGATCGCACAAGACTATTCTCGATAATGATGAAAAATACTGTGATTGTACAATTGGTTAAATCAAAGCGCTCCCGACGACGAGGGCTATGATGTATGCGCGATATTCAAAATTCTTATAAACACTAAAATGATATCCGGAGGTCGTGATATTCGAATAAATTCGATTCGGAGTTCGGACATCCCTGGGCATTACATTTCAGAAGGTGTTCTTAGGCTGGTACTAGTAGGGGCATATGCCGATATTGCCGCTTCATATATTTTATATCAGATTCATATAGTTTTATAAGATTTGGATTATTGGATGCGAAGTGTTTTATTTAAATATTGTTGTTGGTTCTGGTGGGATGCTTGGGTTGTTGTTAAGAAAAAAAAAATTCTGCGCAGCTTCTGGACCAATCGATTTCAAATTCCCCGTACTCAAGATGATAGAAGTCACTAGGAGGCTATCACTTTTATTTTTAAGTTTTTTCTGCGGTCTATAAATGGTCCGATAATTACGAAAACCGTAACAATAACGTTTTTATAGGACTAGGTTAATAAAAAAACAATCGCCCGCACGGTATCTTAGATAGTGGCTCGGGTACGAAGTGGACTTGTGGATCATTTTGTCATATTACTATTTTTCGTGGGCATTCGCTGTCTTTAAATGTCTAGTTATAGTCTATCTCCGAATTCGATTTTGGATGATGCATAAGGGGCTATTAGCCTATTACTAAGTGATTTATTTGTATTGTTGTCTTGTTGGAGCGGTAGTTACGAGTTCCTAAGCTGCGGAGTACATTATTAAATTAGTTGGTCGTATACCTTTAGATATCATCAGACTTAATAAGATATCTACGGATGTAGTATTACCATCTATTACGTTAATTTGTTATTATTTTGAAAACTCGGAATTTAAAATTAATTAATTTAAATCTTTATATCTAAATAGGGCAAAATTGAAAATGTGTATATATAGGAGAAGACTTTGTAGTTCATTCTTCGTATTCAACCTTGCTAGACAGGTGACCGCTTTTGCTATTGACCCTGTTATAGTATGAGATACTCGTTTGTGTTTAAATCCTGTTTCATATGAGGTAAAATGCCTTTTTTAATCGATGACGCTTGACTGTTTAAGTAACATTAATCACATATAATACAGTACTGCAATATGTTCAGCGTGACTATTTTCATATTGTATGTAATATATCTTCGAGGTACTTTTGTATCCTAGTTGGACTCGTAGTTGAAATAGCCTGAAAAACGAAAGTATCTTGGAGAGTACATCCGATCCGCCTCACAATAGACCTTGTAGCTAATAGACAATTAAGCTATAAGCAGTACGTATAACAAAAATACGGTTGTTTCAATACTCTTTTCCAAACTGTTAGAGGCAGTACAAAAACAATTGAGTTTCGAGGGTTCGAAGTGGTAAATCAATCTTATGGGGAAGGGGCGTGTTGAGAATAGGTGATCTGATTTTCAGTGTCCGCGGCGTGGCGCTGCGGGAAAAGTTTAACGGAAAATCTTCACTTCTTACTTGGTGGTGTGCGTTCACTTGAGAATTCTTATTTTGTGTTTAATGAAGTGCAAAATTTGGCTCAAAAGCTTACAACAAATAAAGCGTAACTGACTAGCATACATAATGCGATTATTTAGTGATCTACGGAACATGCCATAACCTAAAAGAATCTTCACTTTGTTAAATCAAATATGACGATATACATATAATCAATATTCTTGATAGAATAGTGAGTTGAGAGAATCTATTGAGATTTTGATTCTAGATAATCAACACTCGCTCATATCAGATTATCGGGTTTTTTGTATTTATAAATAGCATTTTTGTTTTCTGATTTACAACATCGAATGTTTGTTGGCCGTATTGTAATGTAACATAATTGCACGTGACTGAATACATACCAAATTAATAAATTATCACATGATTAAGTTGTGCGGTAGAACTGCTGAGGGGTCTCTATTCTCTATTGCACTCACGGTTGTTCAACTGCTATATCGTAGGAGGATGAAGATTTACACATTTATCCCTTGGGAGAGAAAAGTCGACTAAATGATATGGCGAAGGACATTCTCTCGTCCGATTGGTTTAGCCAGTTTTTTGTTTTAGATGCATGGACTTGGTGGAGGAGGAAGCCGTAACCGACCAGCGGTTGCGTGAACCACCCTACGGCGGTGAGGAATTCAGCAATCCTCTCGCATCTAATTATTTCCACAGGATTCAAACCTGCGAGCCCACGCAGCGTAATCAGACGCTAGCGTATACCTAACGCCTAGCACGTTGCGCTCCGCCAACGAGCCAAGTTCGTATTTTGACTTTTTCAATGAATATATATTATCAATGCTTAGACACGCATGGCTTTGACAAGATAGCATGAAAAAGACATGTAGCGGCAAGATAGTTAACATTCTCGCCTTTTTTGCCACTCGTTGGCAATAGAACGAACTTACATTATTGTTTAATGAGGATGTGATTGATATTTTAATCATTACAATTTCACGATATTGCCTCAATATCACCCATCCCATCAGAATTGAATATTAGCAAAACCACGTTACTTTTGGTTAGCTTGTTTGCGTACATATTTTAAATGTTTTCAAATTAGTAAAATACTTTCAGGGGTGCGAGTGCCAAGAAATCAATAATCTGGGGTCTATTTTTGCTGAGGCCGAAAGAGTGAATCATATTTACTACAGAAAAACGAAACTTGATACTTATCCTCTTCGGGGAAGTCTAGTGGAATAAATCTCTAGGATTCCTGCGGTAATTTGTTTTCCCACGTTTAACTCGGGTAAAAGGTCGAGAAGTTTGCTTCATGAAAACGAAAGTTTATTTATGAAGTGTTGATCTGAATCGGTGTCACGGCATCAGCTGGTTTTAACAAAAATACAAATTTGACATTTATGGATAGACGCAGCCATGTTTTTCCAATTGTTGCCCATTGACACTGTAGGTTTATATCTCAGAATTTTAAAACATGTCTATGCAATCAATCTCAAGTTTTTAATGCTAATGTGTGTTCCCCGAGCATTGATTTACTTATTTTTCCAAGGTCAAAGTTCGGGGAAACATTAAGAATCTCGGACGTAAAACTAGAAAAATACCACCAGTATCCAACTTATCGCATCAAATAGCGCGTAAATACAATAATGCCAGGCGTTGTTAGCCCGTTTGACGGATTCGGGCCATGTTCCAAAATTAATCATATTTTTGAGCACTACACATTTTGCGCTGCGATACTTTTATTACATCGATACCGCAAAATAGATATTACCGTCAAAGAATTCTCTTGTAAGCACGCAATGTTTTGGCGGCGTCTTTTTTAACGTTAATTTGAATCCGTGTTCTCCCAAACAATAAAAAATTAAAATGGAATTCCGAGCTGTCTGGCGCCCATGGGTATTAGAAACTAGTAATATATTTTGCACGTTTCAGTAAAGCAAACCAGACTTGTGAAAAAAATGGCAATCGCTCCATGCATTGTTTTAAGGTCGTGTCTGATCCATAAATATTATCAATTTCAGCCCAATTATCGCTTTATTTTCTTTGGGCCATAGTTAGTGTGCATAGGTTTAGCAAACCTTCGACTCGTAAAGTTTTACAAGATCTTTTTTGCAGGTGATTTGGAATAGTATTTTAGGCTTAGGAGCTCTCATTGAGTCTATTTCTTTCTCAAACATTTTTCTTTTTGAAAATTTTAGAAGTCAGCAAATTCTTAACAATCTGCAGACTATAACCTCATAATCTTTTCCCCGGACGTGACCGTTCGAAGATAAGCTTTTGGTTCGTCATTATGAGTATAAATAAATGTAAAAATAATCATTTATATAAATATTATTCATTTCTGCGTATGAAATTCCGATTACCACTAATAGGTCCCGTTATTCGGAATGAAACGCTTACAATAAAACAAAGGCTTCGGATAAAAATGACGAATATTCGAACATATCCTGACATAAATAACAAATTTACAAGACACAATTGAAAGTTGCAATTGCAATCGCAATTGAAATGATTTTTGTTTCCTTCTTGGATAACACACAAAAAGTCTATTTATTTTGGAATTTAACGTACCCCGTTAGACTATACATTACCGCGAAAACAACCAAAATTTCGGATTCACCCTTTATGGGGGCAGGCTGTTGACAGATAGAAGTGGGTCATAAGAAAGGTGAGTGCTTGAAAAATATAGTTGAGCTATTAGTCTCGGTATCGAAAATTGGGCCTCGCCCAAATATGCAACATGTTTTTGAGCATAATAATACCCGAAATCCTTTTACGTAATACACAAATTAATTGCTGATGAGTTAGTTTACACAAAGTCTATTTTAGGTATTGCCGAAATTTTTGCTTGACGTTTCAAACACAAATAAAACACTTTGTACACTTTGACGTCATCCTAAATATTAATTATTTCTTAATATAGCTTCGCGTTATTTGAATTTTAAATGTATTTGAGCGCAATTCTTTTTATATTTTGAGTCCTCCTCCAGTTATCGGGAGAAAATAATTATATTTTAAAATTATTCTCTTCTAGAGAATAGAAGACCGTTAAAATCCAGGACACAAGTTCACCAGACTAATTTCCTGATTCTAAATAATGTATTCCATTTTTGTATAAGAAAAGCTGAGTTGAAATTGTTAAATTTAGAAGAGGCCTATATTTAGACAACAACCCTTTGATCTTCCTGTCATGACTAATTCCATCAGAATGTTTACTTTCTCTGGACCCCATTTTGCATCTCTCCCACACGCTATATGCACGCTTCAATGAAATATTAAACGCCCTTTTTGTCCAAAAATATAGCTGAACCCAGCATACATGATTATTTTTCCATTTGTGAAAGGTAAAACAATTCGGTTCAATTTGAACTCGGGAGTCGAAAATCCAAACCAATAATGTTCGACCAAATGTTCCACATTCAAGAATCGGTATTGCATAATTTACGTTGCAAAATTTTTATCGGATTGTTTTGCAGAATGAACCTCGAGGGCATGCCGTTAATCTGCGTGGTTTTGCAATTTCGGATCATTTATTAACGTTTTAACACGAAGCTTACTTTTCATTTTTAATCAATTCAAATTTACAAAGGTCATTTGAATGTTATCGCCTTGTGATCAGAATGTTGCCGGCGAACGCCCATTGCAATGTTTACAAATTTATTCGAGATAAACAAAGATTATAAAAGAGAACACCAATATGTAGCTATGCGACAGTCTCTGACAAATGACGTTATTGTCCTCTGTTTAATATGTACTAATTACGCGTTCGAGGTTATTGTGGTAACATTGCGAAATAAATGTCTATGGTCGCTCCATTCGTGCACCTTCCTATGCAGGATAAAACACAATCAGTCGGTATATTTGTTTCCATGAAACATATAATGAAACAGTCGTCGCCTATATTCGAAACAGAATACTTTCATGGAGGAGGGTCTATATCGTAGAGACATTAATGACCGAATAATAAAATAGGTGCCGCGCCTAAAAATGAAGCGCTAAAATTTGCTATATCACCCAGCTTCAATTGAGCAGGATCAGATTATTATATTTCTTTCATAATCAAAACCTTTAGGGGTTTTCATCTTAATTATGACGATCTAACGATCGTGGACTGGTCAGGGTTAGGTTTTAAAATATTTATCAAGCTAAACCTATTAGGTGCATGTGATGAGCTGTCTGCCCTGAAAGTAAGTACACCCCAGTATGGTAGACCACCCTGTAACGTTGACGACACTTACAATTCTCTCGCAGGCAATCGTTCCCCTAGACTAGATATTCCGAATGTCTGGCCCTGGCGTGCGGTGATCAGTGGATAAACTATGCAGAACTTAACCAACTTATTCAGTTGAAATAACTTGATTGCGTAAAAGTTCGTTGTGAAAGTCAGTCAAGAAAGCCATGTTCTCACTGCCTTGTAAATGAACTGACTGCAGTGATTTTCGTAATTAGCCGTTCGAACAACTGCGCATATGCCGCATGGACTGCTGTGCTTAGTACCTCAAATAACCACTAAATCTCTGGTGTACCGCTTTGGTCAATCCTGCAAAGCCTGTTCTATTGCCCAATCACGAAGCCTATTCCACAATCCCGCTGTTTCAAACGCCCCTGCTAAACAGAGAACTTTTCAGGTTTTGTTCACGTTGAAAGAGTTTATTTTTTGAACTTATAATGGTAGAAAATGAGATTGAAAGAAGCAAGAACTTTTTCTTTAATTTATATCGCTGTTAACTTGATTTGCTACATGTAGGCAAAAGTATAGCTCTTTGTCAGATATATGTGCTCGTATGTTATTCTACTACTAGTAGTGTTAATTGGCTTCTAGTACACTGGGCATAAGTTCTCATCGCACCTGGCGTTAAGTCGCCTATTGCCCAGTACTTAGCCAAAAGTCAGATTTGGTTTTGATAGGTGCGACGCTAAGCATTACCTAATGATCTAGTGTAGTATGCTATATGAATTAAAGCACTAAGATATAACACACTTTATCGGCGTGTTTGTCTTTAAAGTTAGGACCGTCAGACATCAAAAAGTATCGCGGCGCGAATTGCACTCCCAATTTTTTTTTCAAAAATTTAACACGTCATTTAATACGTGTGACCGTCGCCTGAATTGAACTTACAAATGGAGTGCAATGGTCCCCGTCGCGATAAAAAATGAAACGTTATAAATAAATACGAACAATAGACGATTAGACAAAGACAGTAAAGATTAGAAAAAATATATTGTTTTCCGTCACATAATTTGGGCAAAAATAGCGTCATATACACACAACCGCAGTAAAACTATAAGATATTACTTGGTCAAAACACTGTTGGAATTCGGCATACAAGAAAGCGAGCTGCTGTCGTGCACGAGCCTAATTTTTGTGAAACGACGGACATTTTATTGAAGAATTGTTTGATTCATAACGATCGATGGCTTGGAATGTGCAGAGTAACATACGTAGGTCGCCATACCGCAACAACAAAAGAACGCAATTTTCACAGTGCGGCAGTTTTGTGAAATCATAGTTGCAAGAGTTGGCTTATCAGGAAAGGCCTTTGCAACAGGTGGTCAGACTGGGTGAATTCGGTAAATATGTCAACCGAAACATGCGGGAGTTCAACTTGGTATAGTAGGTTACATTTGATAGTGCGGTTCAAGGCCGAATTTTCAGAAAATTATACATTGGGGAGGAATACAGTTACTATTCGCTTAATATTAGAAGCAAATATGATCCTATTTGAAAGAAACAATAAAGAAAAAATTGCACATGTACGTTCGATTAATACTAATATTCCCTATCAGTCAGAAATCGTTTAATCTGATTCGCCACCGATTTCAAACAAAAATATTTACTTAACATATTCCAGAGCTTGAGCCAATGATAAAACGCGTTTCAATGACGCGATTCAGCGTTGGCTCACCCTCGGATACCGACGAGCGATTTCTGACGGGAATGAACCATTGAAATCTCGCATCGTTCATCACAACTTCCGTGTTGAGATTTGAAACTGCTTTCCGCTACAATTCCGCTACATTTCAACTCGTTGAGTCTGACTCCAGCGAATTTGAGTAACGAACGATCTTCTCGTGATCAAATTTCTTCTCCTATCTTATGCAGGAGTTGATCATGTGTTTCTCATTTCTTGTTGTTGAAACTTGAACTTTAACCGTAACGAAAATTGCAATATTTTCTTCGAATTATTTCATGGTCGCACGCATTTTCGCAACATTCTTGTGAGATCTGACGACGAACTCGTCTTTTTACTTTTCTTTCTTTGTGCATGTCATGTGCAGTGCTGTAAAAGAAACAAAAGCATTAATCAAAACCATTTTTACAAGTTAATTCAGCAGATATTTATTTATAACAATATTAAGGAATACTTACTGTATAAGTGATGTGAGTGGAGATTCGTTGCTGAATAAGAGCCATCTAGCATCGCTAAATGAAAGAGGTTTTGTCGGTTGAAAATCGCTAGTAATTTGAACATCTCTGCGACCTCGTCGTACTGTAAAAACAAAGACAAAATATTTACTTTCGTTGAATACACATTTTAAGTAAACAAATGACTCGTGTCGCTGTACTTGTGTAAAGAGACATTTAGAGGTAACACGTTAGAAGCTGCACACAACAGGGCGTTAAAATACCTTGGTGGAAAATTAACTGCCACGTGCGGCAAAAGCACTTAATATAGAATTAATGTACTTGTCATTCAAAAATTGAACAGACTAAAAATACTAAGTTAGAGAACAACAAACTTATTGTATACAAATACTTACGCATCGCACCATTTCGACGAAATCTCCTAGGTCTGTAGCGTCTCATAAGGTATGCATTTCTCAGCAGGCTAATTCCGCCGCGTCCACAAATCGTGTGTAAAGTGTCCATAAGTCGGGCCGAACAAGCTCCATAAAAATGCGCTGGCATGCGCCGAGAACTAGCTTGTGCAACATTACAATTGAGAGCTAGTACGACAATCGTGATGGCAAGAAGTAGTTGAAATCGAATCTTCATATTTCTATTTTGATTGTTGAAATCTAGTTTCGAAAGATTGGCTATTTTTGTACGTTGAGGTTGAATTACGAATTAATTAATGTTGGCGTATTAAATGTGTTGTTACCCCAACCTGAAAAATAATGATAATACTTATTATTAGCATTGTCTAAATATACTTGTCGTTGTCTATGTTTTACTAATTAGCTTTGTTATCCGCTCGAAGAAAAAATGCCTTTCCGCTCGATAATCACGTTATCAAAGCAATATCTTTAATCGGCTGCAACTAATTGATTAAACTCAGTTAATCGTCATTAACGTCGGTATCCTATTAATCGTTGAGGCACATGACGCTAAAGGGTTCCTTTTATATTAAAATGAGGTGCTAACTCAACGGGAAGCTGATAGATAACGATATGCGCTATCAAAACTTGCCTAATTCACGCTGCGTTCTGATCTACTACCGCGTATGTTTTCTGTCATCATTAAATCGCTTTATCAGAAATGTTTTACTGCGCAACTTTAATTTCGGGGAATTATTTATTATGAGGTTTGTTTTCGAACACAACGAAATAATCCTATTCATATAGCTCAATATATTACGTGTTATCCTCGACGAGAAAAGCATGACCTCGGTGTGCCCGCGGGTCTTCCGTAGTTTCACCTAGCAGATAAGAAAATTTATTCTTTCAAACGTACTTAAAGTCTGGGTAAATAAATTAAACAACACAACTCTCTGAAGTCATTATCTAGATTTAAAACCAAACTCATAAACATAATCAAAGACCTTACGCGATGTCGTGCGAAAGCCTATGTTTACAATAGCATAGATTGAAAATCACGCTAAGTAAACAGTTGAAGATTTCGAAAAAGGTCGAAAAAAGAAAACCAGCACCCGAAATGAAAAACCTGATTGTTATTTAGATCACGTCAAATAATTTTTTGATGGTAAATTTGATAGGCAAATTAGTGCTCGTACGCTATTGGCCAAGTCAAAATTTTCGTGCAAACCTTAGTCTGACTATCTCGTCAGCTGGCGTCTTATATACCGGCCAGAAACCGGTCTCTTCTTCTTCTTTCACGTTGCTTGTTCTTTTCATGGAAACTACGTTGGTCTTACATAACTAAGACTAACCCAGGCGAGACTTAAAACTGAAGCAAAAAGAGAGTTGTGCTTCTCTTGAAATGGCATACTGCCTCGCCGCTGGCCAGCGACCGGAGTGAGTAGCAACGCGGCGCCGAACGAATGATCAAAACATCCGAGGTAGTCACCTTCGTTAATTAGTGCTTGAGTTAACAAGCAAAATAAATAGGTGATAATTCCCATTCCACGAGCTGTCATCGAAATATCTCGTCGTTCGTTCTTTTCCGAGTAGAACAAAGTAAAGAGTAAAATAGTAAATAAATAAATAGGGATTATGCCGTCACATGCAAAATATATTGATTTATAAGTGGGTTGATCTATTTTTATTATGTTGTTGTATGTAGCGACATTTCCCGACTGTTTATCACGAAAATTATCGATGATTCAAAGTGATTTACAAATTAATCTTTGCTACCATCAGAACATTCGTGTTTGTGATTTTTCCGTTTTCGCGACGCAAATTGAAAAACAAATCTCAATAGCCGTGCGAGATCAAGTGTTCACACGTAGCACTAATGACGCATGGTTCTGGAATCACATTGTTGTAGTTCAAACTTTAACGTAACCGATTATTAGCAAAGTTTGGCACGCGTGTAAGACGGGCCTCGTTTATCAGTACGATTGCACCTAGGATATAGTACCGATAATTATTGAAGACTGTTAATTGTAGTTTTATCTTCACGGCTAACATAATATTACCCAACAATTCACTATTATTAAGCGCGTGTGCTCTATTTTGAATGAAGCAAACTGTGGGAAAAAAGTCTCACAAATCGCCGTTTACAGCATGTCTGCTTTCTATGAATAGATTCAAAAGGCGTAGTTTGTTTATAAGGTACAATCAAATTAAAATATTTTTATGACCGAGATTACAGGAATTCCAGTAAGCGTGCAATGCTTAATTTTTGTCAATTATGATGTGATGTATCCGGGTCGGTTTCAACTGAACTTATGTAAATGTGATGGGTTTTGAGAATTTTATGTGGGCAACGGCTGGATTTTTAACCAATATGGATGGCATGCTTTCGTTTTATTACTTATAAGATATAAACCTAATAATCTTCTATCGTTCAAACCCTTCATGAAGGGATGTAAACAACGAGATTATTTTAATTTATTTATTTAACATTGTTTTAATTTGGTTTATGGAAATTTAGTCGAATAGTACAAACAATTTAAGTACAGAATTAACAAATTTTCAATCACTTAAATGTATCATTACGCGATTAAGGAGGCCATTACCTAAGTTAAAAAATTCATTAAATTTGTACTTTGCAAATTCGTACACACATAAAATAGCACAAAAAGATTCAGGTGGTCGAGCTAGAAATGAATTCTGTTTTTGGTGAAAATTAATTGCATATCACATCTAAGACTAATTTATAGTCAGATCGCAACATGTTATTTACATAAGATTTAATTACCTACAGCTATTTGTTAGCTGAGTCTATTTCAAGTGTATATAATCTCATTACGAAACAATTTGGAAAGTTGCACCTCTGATATGCTAACTACTTAAATACGAATTTTGTTTGGCCAATTTAGCTTCCGATAACATCTCATCAGCATAACCTTCACAAGATTAAGTGAACACAATATGGTGTTTATATAAATCTACAAAATAAACAACGTATCTATGTGTCCAAATAAATGTATCTAATGTCAGCGGTCAATTTTGACGAAATGTATATAGTAAAACATAACTTAAACTTTTTTTTTATCTAATTTTGGAAGGCAGATAAATTATTAGTGTGGAATTGGCGAACTCATCCGGTTTATTTTTGAATAGCTGTTTGTGATTATACCTTGTCATTTGATAGCTCGTGAAAAACTCTTAAGATGCTTAAATTGATATGTTATATTGGCTTTATTTTGAACAACACCAGATGATGGGTAATGAATGGATATATTGTGTCCCATCTCCAAATCGTGTAATTATTAAACGTTCTGAAATTTCGAAAATCAGAGGTCTGATTCGCTACAAGGTCCTTTATTGACGAATAACATAGAAGGAGGAGAACTCCCAACAAAAGAGCTGCTGTGGGAGGAGTTATCAAGAATAACGACATAGAATAAGGGCGACTTGTTGCGTAACATAACAATATGACTCCACTAAATTTATTGGAGTTTTTGTCCTAATCTATAATTAGCAGCGTCGCGCGCCGAAGCTGTAGCGTCGTCGCATCCGATTTCAGTCTTGCAATAACAAACAATCTACCCCCATAGGCAAATATTAAATTCAACCCGAGCTGGTTCGGTGTTTTCAGGGGACATCTTACTGTTTTTACGCGCTAAACACAATTCTTCTGAGTAAAGTATTTTGCTTTTGTGTTTTACGCAAACAATTCTGTATTCTCAAGGGTTTGCTAAATGTGTAAAGTCGAAGGCGCTCACTCGAAGTTGAAGTGGTAAGCAGCATGCGGTTGTAATAAGAGCAAGGCAGATATTATTTATAAATATCTCTTACCCCAGAGGAGTGTGAATCGTTCAACACTAACATTGAAACAATACGAATAAATTTGCCGAAAATAAAACGACCCAGTTCCGCCAAATTATTTCAACATTTCGAAAAGCAATATATTATTTAAAACATCAGATAAATATATACCTGTATGGAGAAGTACTGATTACTATATGAATATATGTACCGCACCGCCTACATAACAATCTGTTGTATTTATTTACAATGTCCTAAGTTACATTGACTCAAGTGAAGTAGCTCATGCTATATTATAGGAAATACCATTTTAAAATGATTAGGCAGAACGCAGAAGTCGAACGTTAGACAGGAAATAAAATCTAAGAAAAACAAATACGCCAGGTTTGGAATATAACTCGTCGGCGGGGTATGCGCAAAAACATTCGAGTCAAATTTCATACTTCCGAAATTCCGATCGACTCATGTTTTATCGGTATATAATCTACACGTCCGGGTGACTAGATTACGCCAATCTACCGACAGTTACCGACAAAAATATCGTGTTTTTTACTTTAAAATGTATTTATATCAAAATAAACGTAAACGACACGATAGATATTGAGTATTAAAGCAATGAACTAGTAAGTTTTATTTTAAATGACCTATATTAAAATCGCCGGATACGGAAATTGCGCTACATTCCTGATAATTGACCAAAGCCCAACTTCTTAAAATGTTTTAAATTGAGTAGAATTTGCTTTGAGATCTTTGAAACCTCGTGGGGGTTTGCACCAATGGGCTACATGTCTATATAATATATATTGTTCGCAGCAGTATACAATGCGGCACAGTGAATGACTGTTATCCATTCTACGAACTCATCCATCAGTGAGATTTCTGTCACACCATCCGCTCCCGCCAAATTTCATCGTTTATACCAGATGGATGTTTTGCAATATGGCATGAACCACAGACACCCGCATATTTCATTTTGTAGTATTGACATCGACGAGAAACATTGTTATTGTTCGTTAGTTTTGGTTGCTAGCTAGGGTGAATGTAATTACCTCACCGCGGAATGACCTAAACATAATTATGCTCATGCTAGTAGATTGTAGGTAGAATCCACTCGACCACCACACCTGCATAAAATGTCACTCCTCCACACCAAATTTCCCGCATACATTTGGCAATCAAGCTTGGGATCTGTATAATGGAACTAAATGATCTTGCGTTAAGAGAGCAAAATAGTGATAAAAAGTATATCATCAGACATAAAAAAAAATTGATACTTCACTTCTTGCTATTATTATGACCAATAACTGCTTTACGTTAACGAGTCACAGTCATAAGAAAAAGGTAGAAAATATCAAAATTCAATTTAGTTGAGAAAACGAACTTTGAACTGAAACACTTTTCCATAGCAACGGCCTTCAAGATCAAGCTGAGAAAGGATGACTGGGCATATATTTAGCATGACTCGCAAGTCATATATCCATTTTAGTCGCTGGATCTTATATGTGCTATACGATTCGGAGGCGCGGTCCATAGTAATTTCATGTTCTGCCATAAATAAGATGACTAAGATAAAATGAACGTGTATCTATTTGCTCTTTACGTACCTCGCCTGTTATATTCATACGCGAATACAAAAAGATAATAGTTAATGGTAGGCGGGACCAGGGTGTCTGTGACTATTGACGTAAGGCGTTGTGATATATAGGTGTGCGTCAATACGTACACCCGTTATGTGTTTTACTATGAAAAGGAGCCGTGCGTCGTTATACTAAGAATACCGCTAGGATATTCGACGACAGGTGGATGGGCATTTGTTCTAATTGAATATTAATATATAAATGTCTTACCCCAATATGAGGATATATTTATACATCCGGTTTCGCAACTGCCGACGGTTGCGTGAGAGAAAACGTGAGAATTGTTCGCATCTGTAATCTTCATCACCAATAAACAAGATCATGTGTGATGTGTATATCTGAAAATCAACGTCTAAAAAAACATACAAATTTCTAAATTCCCAGACAGCGGATTGGTAATAAAGTTGTTTAATAAGCATTATAAAATCAAAGCTCAGATTAAAGGAGGCTGTAGAAACCACCACTCATTTTGTTATTGCCGGCTACGATACCACACACGATACAAACGCAAAAACACATGATAATTTAAATAATAATGAAAATATGTCGCTCTCAACTGGAATTGATAGAAGGCCCATTTTTGCACCCCAGCCCGGCTTTTATCCGATCATTTTTTGGGGGGCTCTAAAGTTTGCTGGGTCTGTTTAGGGTTATCTTGACCCAAGTTGTACTCATTTTCAACAATCACATTTGAAACGAAATACAGCCATGGTTTGTGTAATATTTTTTTCATGGGTTCAGTAAATTTTACCAGAATGTTTGATCACTATAAACCCTATTACGCTAGGGTATGGCTTGTTGTCATATAATCGTTCGTGCGTAACTTCTCACAAATTTTTAAGAGTTCTTGGAATCGATTGAAAAAAAAATAACAATGTAGCTGACCACCAGTGAGTGCACTTGCCTCAACACATGTGGTACAAACGAGTGCTCTTAATTTCAAAATCATAAATGTGTAGTATATTGACTTGTTTCCGAAAAGTACTCCATGAAGCAGCTTTTTCAGTGAATTCGATCTTACAA